ATAAGATTTTTATGACGTCACGACGTTACTCATGAAGTCGAGACGTTACTTATGACGTCACTCATGACGTTACTCATGACGTCACGAATGTTTCCAGGTTGAACGGCGGTCTGGCACCAAACCGAGGCCGTGTGGAGCTGCGGCCGAAAGGCGGGAATTGGGGCGTGATCTGTGACGACAACTGGGACAAGAAGGCCGCAGATATCGTCTGCAGGATGATGGGGTTCGCCAAGTAAGCAGGGCACTTTCACAGTCACAAACTGTACATTTACTGGTCAGGAGTAACGTGGAAGTGATATCGAACCAGTTTTAGCACACTGAAGCCACTATTCCACTGGTCGTGAGAAAGAATAGAGATGTGTATTCATAGCATTTACCGGTCGATTCCATCAGGGAAACTCCCCCTGGATCTTCTCAAAAAGTGCAGTAAACTATATATATGTAGCTATGGACTGTGGACCTTTCTAGTAGCGTACATGTCGGGTACGCCAACCTCTTGGTCCAGAGGCAGGGTCGCTATTGAACTATTTGACTACTCAATTAGTACTCTGGTGGCAAGTGGTGTTGCATGCGAACCCGAGGGTTGATAATGAGGTTTCGAATATCTTTAAATGACGTTGTTGCTTTTGCCGATCGCGATTCGCGCGCTGCTTCAGAGAAACGACGTATATGTAGATAGATGTAGCAGACATATGACAAAAACAGAATTTTGTAATCATTTCCCCCAGCGGATCCAAAATGGAGGCGAAGTGGTCTCGGTTCGGGGACGGGCGGAAGGACTTCCTCATGGACGACGTGAACTGCACTGGGAACGAGAACACTCTGATGGAATGTCTCCATAGCGACTGGGGTAAACACGACTGTGACAGACAGGAGGTGGCCGGAGTCGTCTGTCTGCCCAAGGAAGGTAGGCTGTCACCATGGTAACTGGTGCTGTAGCAGACACCACTGGTGCTGTAGCAGACACCCTGTGGTAACCATGTTTTAATGTGTTTTAGTAAACTTAACCGCTTACCTCTTGTATTTGAGTATTAACAAGAATAAACAAAGCAGTGGTTTGTTAGGCCAGACAATATGAAGATAGATATCATGCATTTGCTCTGTAAATATTTGGTATGTTACCCCTACCTGCAGTATCATACCAGCGGGAGGTTGAGGAGTGTTTCTCGGGGCGAGGCGAGTCTTACCGCGGGCGGGCCAGCCGCACGCTGTCCGGTCAGTCCTGCCTCATGTGGAGCGAGATGGTCGGGACCAAGTACAACACCCTGCGGTACATCAACGGTTTATTTCCTTTGCCAAGAAGGTTATGTTTTCGTTGGCGTTCGTGTGTCTGTGTTTGTGTGTGTGTGTGTGTGTGTGTGTGTGTGTGTGTGTGTGTTTATGTGTGTGTGTGTGTGTTTGTGTGTGTGTATGTGTGTGTGAGTGTGTGTGTGTGTGAGTGTGTGTGTGTGTGTGTGTGTGTGTTTATGTGTGTGTGTGTGTTTGTGTATGTGTACACGATAACTCAAAAAGGCTTTGATGAGACCTCAAAATGATTAGATTTTGGCCCCCTGGTGGCTTCCTATGGTACTGCAGCTGAACTTCCGGTTTTGATATCTCTTGATCTATACATACTAGGGTCACGAAATTTACATGGTAGATAGCTCTTGTGCTGGGAATGAAATGGCATGAGTTTGAGCCCCCTAGCTTCTTGTTCTGGAACTGCAGTGGCGTTATATATTGGTATCATTCCAGGTACCCTCAGGGTGAGTTCGGCCTGGGACAGCACAATTACTGTCGCAACCCTGACGGCGACCTCCGGCCCTGGTGTTACGTGGGAGACCCCAAACAGCCTGGTTATGACTACTGCGACATACATGAGTGCGACGGTACGTTTTGAGACTCGGAATAGTGGCATGTATGGTTCAGGGGGTGGAGTCTGCCATGTCTGATGTTGTTGTCCGATCTACAATTGACTGTCAGTCCGACATTGCTGCAATATTTGCCTCTGGGACCCCAAAGCTCGACAGTATGGGTAAGGGGGTGAAGTCTGCCATCTCTGACTACCCTGTTGTTTTGTGACCTACAGTTGACTGTTATTCTGGTAGTGCTGGTATATGTTTCTCTGGGACTAGAAAGCTCACGGGTATGGGTAAGGGGGTGAAGTCTGCCATGTCTGATTGCCTTTTCATGTCGTATTCTACAGTTGACTGCTACTCCGGGGACGGATCCCGGTACCGTGGAGCGCACAGCAAAGACGCCAGGGGGCGCCCCTGCCTGGCGTGGGACGCGGAGGAGACGCTGGGCCTGGAGGTGAATTATTAATCATCATCATAAAGCCAGGTGACGTTGACCAAAATAGACCTAAAGTGACTCAAATAGAACACGACCCTGTTCCAAAAAAAAAAAAATCTCAAAATAACTCGTTATGTTCCAATGACCTCGGGGAACTCCGAAAAGGAACACATGTTCCGTGCCGATGACCCAAATAGAACATAACCCTGTTCCAATGTTCCGGTGAACTCATATGAACCCTGCTGGGTTAATTGCAGATACATGCACAAACAACCTGTATGAAAAGGAAGGTACAATGATATGAAAGTCTACGTGATACTACAAATGGTTTCTATGACAAAAGGTAATTGTACTGTCTGTCCAGGTGAACGTGTTCACGCACCCTAACGGCAAGGCGGGGATCGGACCGCACCACTTCTGCCGGAATCCCGGGGGTGGGCAGGCTCCCTGGTGTTACGTCAGGGAGGGGAGGGTGCAGAGGCGGGAGTGTGGGGTGCCTAGATGTGAGCACCCGCCTGCACACGGTGAGAAATAAAAGCCAAGCAATCAATTTTTACATCATTATCGATCTTTCTATTCACCTACCAATTTACCCTTGAAAGAACCTTGTTTACGCCATGTTCTTTCCTTGTCAACGCCGTGTTTTTCCTTGTTAACTCTGTGCTCTTCCCTGTAATACCAGGGCATGCCGCCAGGGCGTTTGGACCGCAGTGCAAGCAGAACGAGATCCGGTGTAGGGGCGACAACAGAAATACCATGTAGGTAAAACAGTACGTAAAGAAAATATAGGGTAATAAATTTCAGAAATATAATGTGCGTCAGGAAAATATAGGGCATGAAATACGTATGTAACTAAGACTCCAGAAACACCACGTACCTAGGGAAAATATAGGTGTATAAAATACGTATGTAACTTTAGGTGTACCGAAAAGACATACCATGTACTTAAGGAAATTAACATAGGGCAGTCTGTAGCGAAAACCAGAAACCTAACCATACAGGAAATGTTGCTTCTTTTCCCTAACCCTGACCCTAACCAAAACCCATTCAGACAAACAGCTAGACAGGCACGGTTCTGGATACTATAAGTCCTAACCAGGAAATGTTAACTGTTTCCCCCAGCTGCCTGCCTGAGGAGTTCCGGTGTGACGGGGACCGGGACTGTGCTGACGGGGAGGACGAGGCCAACTGTGGTAACGTCTTCCTTTTTTCATGAGACTGAAAAGAGAGGGGGAGAGAGAGGGGGGGAGAGGGGGAGAGAGAGAAGAGAGTGAGAAAGTGAAAGAGAGAGTGAAAGAGAGAGGGAGAGAGACAGAGACAGACGGAGAGAGACAGAAATATAGAAAGATATATAGAGATAGAGACAGAGAGAAAGAGATAGAGATAGAGAGAGAGGGATAGAGAGAAAGGGAGTTGAAGCCCTAAATCTCTATGATCCTCTAATTATCTCAATGACCAGTGCCACTTTTGGCCGACAACGAATCTAAAATCACCACAACCACAGACATCTCGTCTTCTTCCCCACAGATAATTTCTTTAACTCGTACCGCGTGACCCGGCAGTCTGGGCTGAAGGTGCCGCTGTACGAGGTTGGGTACATGAACGTGGACGTGGAGAGGTGTATGCAGATCTGCTCAGAGACGACAGACTTCATCTGCCGCTCATTCGACTATCATCGCGCCTCCCGGTCATGCGATCTCGTGTGAGTTTTACTGTAAAAAATACTTGTCGTTCCTTCTGTGTAATGTTGTTTTTGCTCTGTTTTCTCTTCTTCTTTCGTTCCAAACGAAAAAAAGGTCAATTACTTGGACCAGACGGCTGTCACCGTGGTAAGTGGTCCTGTAGGAAACACCCTATGGTGTTGGATTGTATTGTGTAGCAAGTGGCAGGACTGAGTTGGAGAGGTGGTCACCATAGTCAACGAGTTTGCGTATAATAATAAATGCAGAGCTGTAGTTTGTTGAGCTAGACCATGGGGAGTTAAACTTAATGTATTTGCTTTGCAAATGTTCCCTTTCGAGATTATTAAAACCATCTACTCACTTACGTTCGGTCCATATTAAAATGGATGACATTATTACCTGGTGTTGTTCTCATGTTCAGGTCCAAACCTGTCCAAGTGGTTGGCGGGTTGGTCAGTTCTGGGAAACCGTCTGTGGACCATTACGAGAGGATCCACCAACCAGGTAATACTGACAGTACCACCATACCGTATACCATATGGCACAGAAAGTTGCTACCCCTTTCGTATGCGCACGAAAAGACTATAGGAAAACTACCAAAGGCATGTGGAGCGACATATGAAGTGGATGCATGGGCAATGACTGGTATTGCCCATGTATGACTGGTATTATATGTTTGGGATCTAATTGGCAGTTGGAAGGAATTTCCAGTCTGCTATGGAAACCTATCGGTATTGTGTATAGCTGCTTACTAATAGTTTCCACAAATATTTGGACGAGAATCGGCAGCTGGAAAAAATATCATAATTGGTTTGAATACCAGGCTAAGGCATTTCGTTCAGGTCCTTCCCGCTTGTATCCAGAACCATATGCTTTATCCAGTACCATGTTCAGACACGGTTCTGGATATAGAACTAGATAGGCATGGTTCTGGATACGATATTTTTAATCTCAACAGCCGTATTTTTCCTTAGATGTACAACGTGTCACCGTGATAGCGCGCCGAAATGCCAGCTTTTTTTAAAAGCACTTGTTTCCTCAGACATGGACTGCGAGAAACTGCCGAACGGACCGTACCATCGGTGTCCGCAGGGGAGGTGCATCCACCACCTGTCCCTCTGTAACAACGTCAACGACTGCGGGGATTTCTCAGACGAGGAAAACTGCGGTAGATATCAAAACCTTCACTCCTGTAATGTTACAGTGGATTACACTGACTTTCGGGCAGCCTGGCTGATTGGTCAAAAATTATAGACAAGTGCAAGACATAGACAGTGCGTGAATAAAGAATTAACAGTAAAAATGAATTAACAGGAAAGTCTTGAACCGTTCTCTATTCTAAGCTCAAATCTGCATGCAAGCCGCTTTTCATTGAGAATATGAGGGAAGAGGTAAGGGTCAGACAAAATGTATCAACAATATAAAGTTTACATCATTGAGAAAGTTTGAGAAAGTCTAGGTAATAATCAATATTTTTATACCGTGAACAGCTAAAACGTAATCAAATTTTACATTTGGAATGATTGTGTCAACGGGTCACTTGTTACCCACGTGACTGAGACACTTGGTATCTTCCAGATTCTGACGTTCCGTTCGAGGTGCGCGTGCGCGGCGGTGAGACGGAGGGTCAAGGTCGCGTGGAGGTCAAATACCGCGGGGAGTGGGGCCTGGTGTGTGACGACAAGTGGGACATCAAGGACGCAGGGGTCGTCTGCAGGGAGATGGGCTACACGCTGTAAGTCACGTCATACCCATCACCAGGGACGGGGGACGGTATAGACTTCTTGTGCATTTTTGAGCAATCAAGTGTTTACAAGATCACGTCTGCAGGGAGATGGGCTACATTTTGTAAGTCACGTCATACCGATCACTGGGGACGGGGGACGCTATAGACTTTTTTTTTACATTTTTGACCAATCACGTGTTTACAAACCTCCCCGTTTTCATTCCACGTCAGAGCCTGGTTAGCTGGTTAGCTGCCGAGTTTCTGGAGAGGGCGAAAGATCCACTTCATTTGTACATTGTGTGCTTATATTTCAGCCCAACTCTTTTCCAGTGGTTCAGTAGAGAGTCAGTAACTGACGTCACTCACTCACTCACTAACTCAGTAACTGACATCACGCTGTCTTTATTATACAGGGGAGCAGAAGAGGCGTACTACCGTTCCTCCTACGGCGCCGGTAGTCAGCCCTTCGTGTTGGACGATCTGGAGTGCGTCGGCACCGAGTCCTCTCTACAGGAGTGTGCGCATGCGCCGTGGGGACAGCACGACTGCTCCCGGGGCGAGGCTGCAGCGGTCAAGTGTAAGCTACGCCAGGGTGAGCATGCGCAGTTCGGTATCATGAAGATTTTACATAATTTTCTTTCATACGCTTTTTTCACAAATGGAGGTCCATGGCCTAAGGCCATTGATGGGCAATAAGTGTAACTTAGGTAGGTCTTAGGTCCTTTTTGAATTAAAGAATTTAGTTTCTCATAACCTTTAGCACACTAAAGTAACTGTCCGTTTAGACAGGGTTAGACAACAGGGATGAGGTTAACCTTTAGCACACTGAAGTAGCCGTTTGGCTGACAATTCTCTATTGGCCACAGGGTTAGGCAGCAGGGAGAAGGTTACTAGCCAAGAAACATTGGTGAAGTTTCTTATCTTACAAACGTTTCGCACAGGCTGCCGGGAAAACGAACACGAGTGCATCAACCGCAAATGTATCCCGTCATCCTTCCTGTGTGACGGGCAGAACGACTGCGAGGACTGGAGCGACGAGGCGCAGTGCAGTAAGTCAGTTAAACATTTTCCTAAATACAACTATCGGATAGTGTTTCTCGGATATGTGCTTGCAGCATTTACATCAGATAGCATTTATTAACGCCTGGATTTGGATGTACAACAGTTAGTATGACAAATGGTTCAATGTGCCATAACTAGCGCGCGCCTAGCATATTATGATAAATAGTGGTTTTTATTACCTATGAGGTGCAGTAAAGTAACTCACCGAAAAATTGAGTCTTCTGATACCTATCAGGTAACAATTTAATCAGGTTGGTGAATGGTTGAATAGCAATTCTTTATTCACAACCGCCTCTTTAACAAGAGCTGACGTTTCCGTGACCGCCTGCTGTCTTCATCTGGGCAATCATAACTGAACACCAGACAATTGTTGGTCTCACGTGTGACCGCGGCAAGTGCCTAGTCTCCACCAGACTCCTTTTCAGGCGGCATAAATAGTAGAAATCGGCCTGAAAAGGAATGTGACCCCGGGAGATAGCTGGCCAGAGAGGGTCCAATTTGCCTGTACGGACCATCAGTGTTCTCACATCATGTTTTTTTTACATTTCAGACTGTTACCGCGGGAAAGGCCTGGTGTACCGCGGGAATGATCACGAGACCATCAGTGGTCTCACATGTCTGTTCTGGAACGAGACCTTAGACCGGAAGTTCAACACACGCGACTATCCGAATGGGCAGCTTGGATTAGGTGAGCTTTGGGCATTCTTTCAAAGTCCCAACTATTAGATAAACTTTATTAAAAAGTAAATAATTTCTCTTAAGAGTCAGAAGTTTCTAATAGCATCTAATAACTTTGATCAGTGATTGAGGTCAAAGACCTGGACCAGACGGCTGTCACCATGGCAACTGGTGCCGTAGCAGGTGTTGGGTTACATGTATGGTGTGGTGTTATGTAGCAAGTGGTAGGACGGGGTTGGGGGGCTGGTCACCACATATATGAATTAACAGGGTAGTAATCTGTTAGTCTAGACCATTTCAAGGTAAACATTATATATTTTCTTTGCAAATGTTACCTTTTAAAATTTCTAGTTTTATCACATGATGACTAACCTTTACTGATGGATGGTGCGTTGTGTTCCTGCCAGGTCCGCACAACTTCTGCCGTAACCCGGATGGAGACGAGAAGCCTTGGTGTTACACCGTCAGCGACAAGCACGGAACATGGTCCTACTGTGCCATACCGAAATGCACATGTAAGTGTTTAACAATGCGATATGGTTGAAGATAGTCTCATGGACTTTTTGAGGCCGTAGGGGAAGTATGTTGTTAATAGATTGTATCTATGACACGATATTGGAAGACAGAGCCCATCCCTCTCCTTGAACCGCCTTTTACCTCCCCAACCGAAGTCAGCCCTAGCTACCCATTTTACGTCTGTGTGGAGTGAGGAAAGTCGTGTAAGGTGCCTTTCTCAACGACACAAAATCAGGGATCAAACCCTCGACCTCCAGCCACTCTCGTGTCTGCTAGTCTAATCGTTTGCTTTTATGATAAAAGCTCGACAAGTATTAGAATGAAAATTCATCTCTTCCGTTGTTTCAGCGCCGCCTAGAGAGCCCCCGAAGTACTGCAGGAATGACGAGGTGATCTGTGCTAACCGCGCATGTCTGCCGGCGCGCTTCCTGTGTGACGGGAAGGATGAGTGCGGGGACGGCAGCGACGAGAAGTTCTGTGGTCAGTGGCTCATACAACTTTCATTCATGTTTTCAGTCATTTATTCTTTCATTCATTCATTTATTAATCCATGTATCATTCAGTCTTAGTGAAATCTACACAGCTAGAATAAGTAATGTCTACTGTTTGGTCAGTGACTGATACAAGTGTTTCGGTGTTCATTCTGTTAAATTTCCACTATAATTACATAAAGTAAAAGAAACGTGACGTCAGCAACGGGTCAAAAGTGCCCGGTAGTCCGTATCGTCCTCCGTCTCGGTCATATTTTCATTCTTTTATTTATTTATTCAAGAATATACAAAACACGGAGTGGACAACTGTAGCAGATCTCTAATCTTTGTCATATTTGTATTCAGTCATGCATCTTGGCTAGCGATTCGGACCCAGAGCCTTTAGAGTCTAAGTGTACTGCCCTAACCATAAGATCACCTTGCCAATGTTTTTTTTTTCAAATATCCCCCCAGATTGTTTCCGCGGACGGGGTAAGGACTACCGCGGGCGCCACTCCGTCACCACCGACGGCCTGTCCTGCCTCTTCTGGAACGAGACGACCCATCTGGAGTTCAACTCGTGGAAGAACTCGCAGACGGAATACGGAATCGGGCAGCACAACTACTGCCGGAATCCGGATGGCGACCGGGCGCCGTGGTGCTACACGCACCCTAACGGGCGGTACGGGTACTGCAACGTCAGCAGATGTGAAGGTGAGACAATTTGCAACCTAACATCTCTTATATCATAGCAATGGTTAAGGTATAGTCTCAGCGTACTCCGCGTACTACGCTACGGGTAGTGCAACGTCAGCAGATGTCAAGGTGATACAATTTGTGACCTATCATGAAAGTTCATCTGTATTGGTAATTACATCTTTAGAGTTAAAACTTTAGATCCAACACACAGAAGTTCTCTCACCTAGAGCTTTCGACCAGTCACTCTGGTCTTCCTCAGTAGACTGACCCAGTCAGGCTGAACCGCGACGGGGGCCGACATAGTCTACCAGATACCTTTGACCCAGTGTTGACGTCAAACGTAAAAAAAGCCACGTGACAAGCCTCACTGGGTCAGTCTACTGAGGAAGGAAAGAGTGACTGGTCGCAAGCTCTAGGTGAGAGAGCTAGGCATGGTTCTGGATACGCATGGACTATCCAGAACCAGAGTATGGGTCTGGATAAAGCACGGAATCCGGACGGCGACATCTAACCTTAATAGACGACCATTGCTGTTGTTGGTGTATCTCATGATGGCCATTTTTTGTTTTCGTCCTGTTCAGACAAGTTTGACCTGTCGGACAGACCAGTCGGTGACGCGCCACGCAGCACCCAAATAAGGCGTCCCCGTCCCGTCATCCCCTGCGGCACGCCCAGCGTCTCCCCGCTGTTGAGCGGTGACGTAGCGGTGAAGGGCGAGCACCCGTGGCAGGTGGGTGACGTCACACATACGTCATCATTACACACGTGACGTCATTGACGCCGCGTTGGTTGGTTGGTTGGTTGGTTGGTTGATTGGTTGAACCTTGGTATTTATACACCCTTAAAACAAGAAATCGGAGCTTTTAGCTTTTTTTTATATACCTAGCGCTGTAGCAGCCATCCTGTGATGTTAGAATACATTATGTAGCAAGTGGTAGGACAGAGTTGAAGGGCTGGTCACCATGTATATGCATTTTAGCAGAGCAGTAGTTTGTTAGGCTAGAAAATGCGTAGGTATCATGAATTTCCAAATGCTACCTTTCTAGTGTATACACTCCCGTGATACATTTTGTTGCACAGGCTTTGCTGCTGACCAAAGGCGTGAACCATGTCTGTAGCGGGACGCTGGTACACGACTGCTGGGTCGTCACGGCCGCGCACTGCATGGAGTAAGTTCTCAGGGCCTCTATCACTCAACCCTAACCCCAACCCCAACCCCAACCGCAAGCGGTTGATCGTGGCGTCGTGTGGTGTAGTGGTACATCACTGGACTACGAAGCGGGGAGACCCGGGTTCGATTCCGGGTCGTACCCGAACAAGTCCGAACATGCGCCCCGACGTTGTACCCTTGGGAAAGGTACTTTACACAACTTTCCTCACTTCACTCAGGTGAAAATGAGTACCTAGCTTTGGCTAGGGACGTCCCTCGGATAGGACGTAAAATGGAGGTTCCGTGTTTGGGAGAGTCCACGCACGTTAAAGAACCCACCGCACTTATCGAAAAGAGTAGGGGACCTTCCCGGTGTGAGTGGTTCAAACCTTACAGCCTGGTCTCGGGGTTGACATCTTTGAAAAGGTGGTAGTCACCTGTTATGTCAATCCTTCCACAAATGTGGTAAATCTTCATAAATAAATAAATAAATAAACCCCTACCCCTACCTCTACCCCTACCTCTACCCCTACCCATGATTTCATGATTTTGAGGAAGCCTTGGTACCTGTTGATTACAGCGCAGTTCATTAGATCACTCCTACCCTCCCCTGAGTGTATAGTGAACGAGCACAGGGGTCACAGACAGGTTTTACCAAGGGTTTCCAGGAATGTGGGTATAGATTGTGTGTCAGCAAACAGAGCTGGAAGACATGCCTGTGGACATTACATGCCTGTGGACAAAATTCCTGTACAATTCCTAGAATTTTTGCGAACTGCACACATTAATGTACCATTAGGCTCCTCCCTGAGACGTCGCCGAAAATGTTTGTGTGTTTGTCCCAGCCGTTCTAAGGACGCTTACGTCATCCGACTGGGGGAGTATAACAACGTCCTGGACGAGAAGACTGAGCAGGACTTCCGGATTGACACCGCGGTCATTCACCCCGGATATGACGTAGTCACAGGGCAACACGACATAGCACTGCTCAAGGTATACGTCACATCCGGTTTTCGGCAATGTTTTGTCCTAAATATCTGAACCAATCGTCACTAACGGATGAAAAAAAAGGACGTCCGGACGGGGGACGATATAGACTTTTAACTCTAACTTTTAACCAACTTTGACCGATTGTGATGTCACACTAACGTAAAGTGCCCTGTACAAGCAGTTCAGTCATCGTGAAACGTAATGGAATGTATAATCTCAAAACAATTGAGTAACATCCGCTTGACTTTATATCAATTCAAAAGTTTTTACTGGATGATGCAAGGACATACAATAAATACCATCGATGCATCCATCCATCCGTCTATTTATTCGTTCATCGTTTAATTCCTTACCATGTAATCGATTAACCCCCCTGCAGTTGCGAAAGAAGAACGGCGAATGCGCGAGACTCACCGACTACGTACGGCCCATCTGTCTGCCGGAAACGGAAATGACGTTCCCTGTTGGGACGCAATGTGACGTCAGTGGATGGGGTAGAACAGGTAAGAAAGGCGTCTGTCTTATTAGTCATATTCATTAAGTTTTTTGAGTGGCAGAAAAATAGCCTTCTCCGACTTAATTAGATAGCGGTAAAACCGTTTCTTTCAGTTAGTTGTGAGTAAATTTCCTCACTGTACTAGTAGATATTTCAGAACAGCAAAGAGACATTTATCCTTTTTACACATGGTAAGACGTTGTGTACTTGGGAGAGGTCCTTACTACGACTTTCCTCAGTCCGCCAAGGTACCTGTCTTTGGTTTAGGAATCGAGGTAAAAGGCGACGAATGGAAGGAGTGGGATGGGCTCCAATACACAGTTAATCTACCTATGGCCTTTCAAAGGCTATTGGGCTAGCGCTATTGTTAACTTTACCCTTTTTTCTAAATCACAGACACTGGTCTGTACGGTCCACCACCCTGACGAAGGCCAGAGTACCGCTGATGCAGGGGAAAAAGTTACTTTATACAAGCGGTATGACTAGTGATCCTAGTCATACCTAGAAACCCATCTGAAATCCCTGAAGTCTAAAATCTGCGCTTTTTTGGTTCCTCCTGTCAGACACAGACCGGTCGGTTCGCCCCACGACCCTGACGAAGGCCAGAGTACCCTTGCTGCAGGACAGTTACTTCATACATGTACACACGCATATATAAATCTCTTATTTCCTGTTCCTTCATGCAGACACGGACCGGTCGGTTCGCCCCACGACCCTGACGAAGGCCCGAGTACCCCTGCTGCAGGACGCGCTATGCGGGTACATCTACGGGGACAAGCTTCTACCCGGCATGCAGTGCGCGGGACACGTCAGGGGCGGGAACAACGCATGCAAGGTGGGGGCAATTGTCATGCGTAGGTGTCGTAACCAGAATCATGCCTTTTCAAGGCCAACATGCCCATAGATAAATAGAAAGGGTCATACAAATGCATAGATAGAAACACAATACAGTGTTTAAAGTTAAATGTTTTGGTCCAACACAAAAACTCTAACCTAAAGCTTTCGACCAGTCACTCTGGTCTTCCTCAGTAGATTGACCCAGTGAGGCTTGTCACGTGGCTTCTTTGAAGTGTGACGTCAACACTGGGTCAAAGGTAGACGATGTCGGCCCCCGTCGCGTTTTAGTGCAGGGTGGTGGGCCCTTTCATGATAATACAATGCAGTGTTTAACGTATTCTATGCAACGTATTTTGCATGACGTAACTGTTTGTGTTGTTCTCCCGTTGCCAGGGCGACATCGGCGGTCCGCTGTCGTGCAAGCATGACGGGAAGTGGGTGCTCTGGGGCGTGACGTCATGGGGGTTCGGGTGCGGGGAGCCGAAAACTCCCGGGGTGTTCACCCGCGTTACAGACTACTCCGACTGGCTGCAGAGAGTCATGGCTTTCTACTGAGCTGGGCTAAGGAGGAACTGCCGAAACAGTTACTCAAGCAATTGGATGTGATTTTGGAAACGGTCAGACGTTTCAGGTAGAATCCACTACCTTTCGTCAGTGACAGAAAACTCTTGTCGTCAGTGTCGTCAATGTCACTGACGACAGGTAGTGGATGCTACCTGAAACGTCCCAATATCCAGTTGCTTCAGTAACTGTTTTTTTGGCGTATATTTTTACCAGTATGTCTAATATTCACCGACGTATTAAGGAGGAACAGCACTCTCCATTTAAGTCACATGCTCATAGCAAATTACTTAAGAACATCCCTCGATTGGCTCATAGCAGTATGCATAGGTATCGGTTATAAATAGGAAGTCATTATTTGCTGGCCAATACCACAATTTTTCAGTCTTAAAAAGTCTAGTGGAGACTAGAAAAAAAAAAGACTCGTAAATGTATTTCTAGACTTGCCTTATTTATACTACAACGTCATATATATGGCATGAAATATGCCCTCATAATTTCACCGAACGAGGTGTATTGTAAAATTTGACCTAACTCTAACTTACCTATGAAAGGCAGCTGTATTTTTCTATCTAATTTTTTTTCAATTGAGGATTTTTAAATTTTGGATTTCTTATATTCATCGATAGACCATTTCTACTATTCTTTGATGTAAGTTTCCCATTAATTAGTTATTTGGGCAACATTTGTCCACCAAAACACTTTAAGTGAATTAATCGCAATTCCCCTAACCTTCTTCCAACTAAGGTACTGTTTGACGCCAACTTTGTTTTGGTTATGGGTTTAGGCAGCAGGGAGAAGGTAATTATTCAACCTTGTAGATATTCGTTGCTGTTTCTTAGCTTACTTCTTAGGACAAAGATTATTTGGCCATTTTGTATAGACTGCGTTTAATGTAGGGATCATGATGGCTAGTTTGATGCGGGTCGGAGTTATTTTGGTTGTGAAAATACCAGGAATAATAAGTCTATATAAAGGAGCCGTGGCTCTTTCGTACGCTTGATATACGCTTGTACATGTAGCTTGTAGTACTAGAGTATTATATACCGGTATAGTAACAGATTTCACAGCAAAATTGGGAAATTGAAATCAATAACAAACTAAGTGCTAAAACCATAGTAATGACCAGGTATATAACTTGATATAGTATGATAGTGACCAGGTATATATAACTTGATAAAGGAAGTATGGTACATAAATATGGTTGTTACAAATCCGGAAATAAATCGGCAGCACTGGATGGAATTCTGTCTTCAAATAATTTGCATGTATATGATCGATGTAAACAAAAGCAGCGATCGCTCATATGCTCTTATAGGTCGGAATATTACGCTCTAACGTTCACAAGGCAAGAGCTCCTTCAAGATTTTTGGTTCAAAACAATCAAAGCAACTTTACCACAAAGTTACATTGCAAGGATGGCCATTAAACTCCCTCTAAAGGAAATGATACAACGGATATCACTCACCTGTGACAACCAAAGTCCTTCTAGGCTGCCATGTTGTTGACGTCACGCCCCACAAGGTCGAGGGTCAAATTGAGGGCCAGGTCTCAGCATTATGATGTCTTCCAATGAGCAACACACTATTTGATCAAAACTATCATTCCTGGCAGAAATATTCATGTGTCAAAAATGCACACCTTCCTAGTTCCTGTGTGATTAGGTCATATATATAGCTGAAAGGCTCAGCGCGTATATTGAATGCTTAACTGAGGTGAAGAATGATGACGTTTCAAATATCTAGTATAACTTTCAGTATAACTCTGTGCAAAAGATATTGTCCATAGTAGAGCTTCTAATATTTATGTATTGCATAGCCCTACTGGCCCAAGGGACGTACTGTTTACTAAGACATTTATATATGTAGTTCGATGAGAAAACGCCAATTTTGAGGAAAAAAAATCACTGACACGTAACTGAGAGAACGATGCTTTTATTTACATAGCGTAGTACGTCATCAGTACGTCATGGTGACGTCAGGTATCACCTTGGTAACATGAGTTCGAAAGGTCCGCCATTTTATACCTGACACAGCCGTAATATGAACCTTGTCATGACGTATTTCAAAATTGAAGCCTCAAACAGTCTAGTTTCGAGCACCTGATAAATCTTTATCTTTTTAAGTTTTTTTCTCTTTTCGTTCATTTTTGGCGATTTTTACGGTACCAAAAACAGTCAAGAAGCTTTCTTTTAAGTAGAGGACGGACAGCTAGAGACTTGGGTCGAGGCTGCATCTGTATATGAATATACACGAAATAGACATCTTGTACAATACTGGTCCTATGGTCGGGTGCATCATTTTGCAGTTCTACCATCTCTCGCAAGACGGCGCTGTGAGACCGTTCACCTGAGGTCTAACGTTTCGACATTGCATCATACTACATAAGGCAAGTTCAACACATCGAAAACTGACTCACAAAACGTACTAAGATTCCTTTTCACCAAGTAATATACAGCAATATCCCATCAACACATTTTACTTGTACATACAACTCTTTATCTTACAAATCTTACGGTAAAGCAAACGTTGTAGATTGTTCAACAAGAAACCAAAACAGATGTGACAGAAAATTCCCCAAATTTTGTCATGAATGAACTAGAAGATCATCTATAGTAAGGAAGGTTGAAAAATCGGTGATTTTTTGTCCTGTAACTCATTGACAAGTTTACTAGCCTCCATAGCATGCCAAAAACTGGGGGTTTGGGGGTCTTCGTGGTCTTTGGGAGCTTACAGCCGAAGACCACCAAACCTCCAGTTCTATAAGCCTGCTACGGAGGCTAAAGTTTACATCGTGGACTCTTGTTCTTTACAAAATACTCTTCAGACTGTAACTTTTCTTCACACAAAATTCAAACATCATCATTCATAGCTGCTATTCATTCTGCTTTGGTGCTGAAATACATGTAAAATTATGCTATAACATCCACAACAATTTATCAGTAATATCTCAACTGGGCAGTAACGTTTTAGCTGGTACATAAAAAAAAATAACGAAAACAAAATGTCATGATTGAACAGCAACCAATCTGTAACTCTAACACATATGTTTAACTTTGGTACGACTTTCCAAGCAACAGTGTGATTAAAAAAAAAAAAACTGGTATATTTCCACGTGTAATGGTGCCGAACCAGTTTTGGATGGCTAAGGGAAATAAAACATTGCGGAGAGGGCATAAATTTGGTTTTGTAGGAACCTGAGAAATTTCTTGTCGTAAGTAGGTACAATGCAGATGATAAAATTTCAGTTTTTTAACGGAAACTCTTATGGCGTCATGGCTGTTAGATAACGCGAAACTAGCACGTCACAAGTGTGAAATGGCGAGAAACTAAAGCGTCATATATGTGACATGACGTGAAGCTGACGCGTCATAGACGTGAAATGACGCGAAACTAATTCGTCATAAACGCGTTATATATGTGAAATGATGCGAAACTAGCACGGCAAAAATGCGACATAAACGCGTTACCAATCGTTACATATAGCGGCCAATAGCTAACAAATAATGACTTTTTACAAACATTTCCTATTGGCAAAACCAGCGCCACTTAAAACCACATAAGAACTATTTTAAAAAATCCCTGCTTTGAACAGGTCGTATTATAAACATCAAATATGGCAACAAAACACCCTGTGTCACTAGTAACATTGTATCAACTTAAAAAATAACCTACGTTTGTTACATAATATTTCTAACTCTAAGCACTTACTCCAATGATAACGTGTACATTGTGATAGTTGAATGTATAACAGAATAAGATTGATGATAGCCCAAAGTATAGGCGCTGTCTCCCATTACCCTATCATAGCTCCAGGTATAATAATAATACAACATTCGCCATCCACCAAAATCTCATCTAAGGTCACATCAAGTAAACTTTATGGATGACATCCTCCGCAGACTCCAAATATAATGCGAGCGGGCGAAAAAAAACAAGGCGGGCCAAAAATACAAGGTTTCTATATTTTCAAATTTTGACATCACATACCTTCAAGTTGTTAAACAAGAGATGATGCCATTGTGCTAATTTTACTGCCAACTATCACAACATCCATTTGTCACTGAAACAACTTTGAAAATTAAAAGTTTTCAATCATTGTACAAGTGGTTTGATACAGTGGGAACGTATAAAAGGAATGAAATATATCACTGCATCAAAGTTAAAGACAAAACAATAAGTCAGAACATTGTCTTGTCTCCCCTCCTCATATTTATCTGCCATCTACGTCCGACATGGTAAGACATGTCATTTTTCTTATATTCGGCTTGTCAGATGGCAACAAAATTTCTTGTTTTTTTTTCTCCAAAATCAGGCGAAATTCAATGCTCGCGCTGATGTCATCCATAAAAAATACTTGCTGTGGCCTAACGTTAAAACACAAATTACACAAAACGCTGCTAACCAAATCCAATATAATACCATCCCCACCGTAAGTAAGTATGTGTACTGAAATAATCTCTCACAGATTGTCTTGGACACACAGTGTCAATATGTACAGAAAAATCCATCCATCAACTGTTGGTGGGTTTCGCCTTCGAATCTTTGGACCATTTTGATTGAAGCTTACATGATGGGGTGTCAGATAAACTATTTCTCATGCCATGGGCTGATCGACATCAAATTTCTTATGGCTGGAAATAAGTGTTATGCCATGCATGTATGTGTGTGTGTGCAGAATTTGGGAAAAGTGGATTGAAGTTGGAATCAAAGCTTGGGAAGGTTTTTGATAAGGTTTGGATGGCAAAAACTGACGCATACGGAACAACGCCTCCTGCTGTAAGCATCATGCTGCATTACTGTACCACATATATGCCAAAATCTCCTTAATGCTGCTACTGAAGTATTCAACGTTAAGAAGCCACATAGAGAACAACTTGTTTGACGTTTCTTTGCGCAGGACTCGGAACTAATTCCGACCCCCCGGTCAATAATGACAATAATGACCTGCGTCCCGAACACAGATCGGCACGTGGTTAATGCCGCTCCATGTTCTCCTCGCACCTTGCTGCTAGCTAGCCTCCAGGGTTGCCATTCTAGGGTTGGTGGAAGTTCTAGTGCGTGCGATGTACCTTTGATCAGAAAATTGTGCAAGTTGGAAATAAGTCCCCACCCCCGTCCAAAAAAAAGGCGAACGATCAAGGAACGCCTGCAAAGGAGGCTACCTCGCTCCCCGTTGCGGGTTTTACCACAGGTCGATGCCCGAGGCCGCTCCGGCCGCTTACCCTCCCATCATCTCCCCATCAGCAGGCATCCCGCGCCCGCGTGCCCGCTGGGGAGACCCGCGTTATTACAGGCGCCGCTCCGGCCTCCATTCTGCACGGCCGCCGCCTTCTCACTTTCGATTTTTCCGCGCGGCTGGGCGCCAGTCAACCCGAGATGATGGATCGGCTGGGCACGAGTCGATTAGAACTTTTACTTTCGCCTTTTTACTTTCGCTTTCGGCTTTTACTTTCGCTTTTTTAGTTTTCACTTTCGGCTTTTACTTTCACTTTTTTTACTTTCGCTTTCGGCTATTACTTTCCCTTTTATACGCTCGGTTTTTACTTTCGATTTTTTTACTTTCTATTTCGGCTTTTTATTTTTTCCCCTTTTCTCACTTTCCTTTTTTATCTCTCTTGATTTTTTACTTTCGATTTCAGCCTTTACTTGCGCTTTCAAGCCGCGAGGGACAACTCTCGGTGTAAACCAAATAGAGCACGTCAGGAATATAACGAAGCCGATTTAATTTTCAAACCGCTACATGTATGTTTGTTCAATTAAACAATTATTTCCAATCGATAGCAGCAAACTCCGTAAATAGGGCATGAACAGGGGTCAAGGATGATACACGAGTCAGGTATATGGATATTATAGACACGGTAGCACATTCGAGCGTCGTGGCCAGGTTTTGATGATACTATCCTAAAATATGCCATCTCAGACTAAGAAAAAAGTGAGAAATGTAGAATTTCTGGATTTCGAAACGTTGCTGATCATGAACATCTTCGTTTTATATGCATGAATATCGATACGAAGATATCAAGGAATATATACGCAGCACCTTTTATAAATCAGATAGGAAAGTAAATATAGGATGACGCTTTTCAGTCCAGCGTTTTTGAAATTTTGAAGTTTTAAAATTTTATGGTGACCAAAATAAGTTCTTCTCTCGGACCGGGGAAAAGAGAATCGGCAACGGGGATATTGGGACTAATTCCCAGACGTCTTAAACGATCGATCAACTTTCGCTCCACGCCGTTCCAGTACTTTCACTTTTCACGCGGTCCTGCCAGGGTCATCCCAGCGGAAAGCCTGCCCAGCGGTGCGCACTGATGGTTTGATCTGGGCGATCAGGATTTATAATGTGCAGAACCGTGCCTATCTAGTTCTATGCCTGAATGGGTTAGGGTTAACCCGTAGGATCTGGATAGTCTCCGCGCATCCAAGAACGTATTTGTTGCAAGCATGGTTCTGGATACGCGTGAACCGTGCCTAAGCATGGTTCTGGATACGCGTGAACCGTGCCTAAGCATGGTTCTGGATAGAACAAGGTTCTGGATACGCGTGGTCACCCCAGCGGAAAACCTGCCCGGCGGTGCGCACTGATGGTTTGATTTGGGTGCTTAGGATTTATAATGTGCAGAACCGTGCTAATCTTAAGTTCTATGCCTGAATGGGTTAGGATTAGGATCAGGCACGGTTCCGTGCCTATCTAGTTCTATGCCTGAATGGGCCCGGTTAGGGATAGGATCAGGCACGGTTCTGGAGAGTCAATGTCGTATCTAGAACCGTGCTTATCTAGTTCTATGCCTGAGTGGGTTAGGGGTAGGATCAGGCACGGTTCTGGATTGTCTCCGCGTATCCAAGAACGTAGATTTGCCCCCAGGCATGGTTCTGGATGCGCAGGGACTACCCAGAACCCTGCCTGAGCATGGTTCTGGATAGAGAAAGGTTCTGGATACGCGTGGACTATCCAGAACATGGGTCTGTGTAAAGCACGGTTCTGGATACAACAGGGCCCAGCCGGCAGAAAGGACGAGGTGCGAGTAGTATATAGAGCGGCAAACAAGTCGCATTTGTCGGGCGTGAACTTACACAGCTTTGACTACGATGAGCCAAACTTTGCGCAATGAAAATATATCGCATGGAAGTTCATGGCAGATAAATCAGGGCCCATTTCACTTAAAATAATCATTTAGAAAGTTTGTAAGCAATTAATTATGGCAGATTTCTGCGTAGTTATTCATTTGAACGCCATGGGTTGAGTTTGCGTTGGTGAGGATGTAAGATTTCAGTATGCGCACATTTTAAGCGTGGTACAGCATGTTTAGCACAGATGTCTCGCAAAATCGGACGGAAAAAAGTCCTGGCAGGAGCCCAAGGCGTTCTCTGATATACATATATCGTATATATATCTATACTTTGTCCTCTACTATCTGAACTTCTGGCGAGAGAGAGAGAGAGAGTTGTCACACTTGTCACAGCACCGCATGACACGAAGTTTCACCCAACCTGCGAAGAACTATCAGCCTGGACGCCAGATTTTTTCAGCTTCGGTTCGCTTTCTTTGTCGCTTTCCTGCCAAAAAGAACGGACCTAGTCTCTACCAGACTAACTACGCTGGCTATATATAAGGCGAATAATTGCCAGGGGAGTTTGGCTGCCTTGTAGGTTTGACTGGCCGGGCAGGAGGGAATAAACAACCTCCCCGCGGCCGGACTCCCTTGACCAATTTTCCTTTCTTGCCGAATTGTACGATCCGTATTCCCGTAGAAAGGCCTGGTGGAGGCTAGAATGGACCCACGGTGCAGACACATATTTTGCCTTCTTGTGATGACGCCAGTTCAGCTTTCGCGCGCTACACAAGGCCTCTACTGATTGGAAGACCAATCACAGTCGTAGTGGGGCTCGGGTTTGGCCAATCAGCGCGCCTGTTTGAAATTTCAAGTATTCAAATGACAGGCAGATAGAATATGTGCAGGTCCAGTCTTTTTGGCAGAGTAATTCTCTCCAAGCAGAGGTTGTGGGGGGAATGATCGTTACCTTTTTATATATGGCCTTTTTATTTTTGTCGCTACCCCCACCACCTGTCAGTGGCAAATGGATACTGCCTGGCCAATTTGATACTGTCTTTTTGTGACTAGTCGAGCGTACTGAAACTAAAAAAAAGGCTGGCTTCCAGGATAAGGAACTATCTGTTCATCACAAGTCCGAAACACTTTTAATAGCAGCCGAAAATGGCCGCCGATTCCTAAGTCTAAAAACTAGCAATACTGCCTACCCGTAGCTCTAACCACCGTCGCCTATACACCACCACGGTCACAGGTACAGGACGTAGAAAAGTCTCTCCACAACAGTAGAGAGGATTTTTAAGCACATTTTGTAGCAGATATACCGGCAGAGTGGATACAAAATTTCTTTCTTCTTTAGGAGAATACATTACAATGATGGTCTAATTTATAGCAGAGGGTTTGCATACACACAGGAGAGAGCGACTATCCTGATGTCAGCATCGTGAGAAACAGCTGCCAATCATTGCGTAGTCATGGAAACGAAGGACCTCACAAATGTGGTTTGAAATGCAGTTGACTAGAAAATGGCTGGAAAGATATGAGAGCAATGTGTTGTTTTCTGCGCTTAAGGTTTTTGTTGTAGAGATCATGTACACAGAAATTTGTGGAAGCAATCCTTCTCCTGATATTTTCATGGTAGTTTGCGATAAGCGGCTTCAAATTTGATAAAGCTAAAAAACTGCCTGAAGATATAGATAGGATACGTTCATTCACGTGATGCTCACGTGATGTTCACGTGAAAGTGAAGACATGATGCATGACCGTATCCATACTCATTGATGATACCACAGAAACGATATGCTTGATTGACAGCTGTGCATCACGATAGACACGACAACAGCAGACCTACGTACAAAATTGTTCTGCCTTTCGCAGATGGGAGGAAGGGGGAGGGGGTTAGATGGGGGAGGGGGCTGATGTTATACGAAGCTGGTGTCCGAAGTGCCATAGTATGGTCTCCGGGATCCACCGGAGCGGGCGGACAGGTCCACATCCAGGTCCGTGCCGAAGAACTTGTCGTCCGTGTAGCCGCTCTGGAGAAGATATGAAGAAAAGGGCGGGAAAAAGGTGCACGATTAGTTCACGTGATCGTCACATGGCACTGGCATGATCATCATTTTCGTGTATGGAATCTTCAAATAGATGGTGTGGTGCAAAATCGTAACGTGTTACTACAGCCAAATTACCCAAATTGGAGCTGGCAGAAAAGCCTAGCTAACAAAAAACGTTACCGCCTTGCACCGCAGCATCTTTTTGTAGACTCACGAAAAGGGATGAAAAAGACACGTGTACCTCACATGATGCTCACGTGGTGTTCACGTGATGCTCACGTGGAAGTAAAGAAATGAAGCATGGCCATCTGATGAGGTTCAATAAGGGAGAGGACAGGGAAGGAGCAATAGGATAGGAAGCCAGCCAGGTTGCTTAAAAGTTGGAAAGACACTAGAAATATGAAATACTATACAAATTCAACATATCACACATAACTATATACAGTATATGACCGAATCAAATCATACACATGACTTTCCAATGCAAAATAAATTGTACAAAGATAATAAATGAGTGAACTAGGAGGTATGTGACAAAACTACTCCCAGCACTATAAATTATATAGCACTAAACTAGAAAACAGAAAAAAAGACTAGCAACGTTATGCTGAATTTCACCTCTGTTGCTTAGCCATCGAGTAAATACATATGCATTACAATAATGGGTCAAACAACTCTTAAAAAGTAAAAGATATGAGACAAGGTATTATATGAGAAATAATCAGATAAGTTAATGAACAATACTTATGTATGTACCCATTTGTATATGCTATGGTGCCTTACGATACCTGAATGCACGTTTACAAATGTCATATTCACCTACATGCATGTTTCTGTACACTTAAAAGCGGGTGTCACATGCACGTTCACACAAAACGATGCTTCATGCAATTGCACATTATCAAACGGACCAAATGACAACTTCAAAGATATCCAAGACCAGTTCATGCACAAATGAAAAGTTTCTATATATTGTCAATGACCTCGAAAGGGGACAAATTATTAGAATGTCACTCTGTTTAAGACAGGACAGGACTGCCAAGACAGGACTGCCAAGCAGTTCTTTTTCCATTCCCCAAAATCAGCAATGGTCCTTCCCTGCTATTATGAGGGGGGCACAAGGGTTTGTATAGGGTTGAGAAGGGACAGGGTTGGGGTTTCTTTAAACACCAGAAGCTTCTACTGACAAGATGTACAGCCAAACCTGTTTATAGTGACAAATGGGACCAATAGACAGGTCAATGAAGCGCCCGCCATGGTCCAGGTGGTCCTTATGCAGAGGTGGTCGCCTAGTAAAGGTTTGACTGCATATCAATTGGTGTTTTCTATGCATAGTTGGTCACTTGTACATGCATATTTTAGTTGTCACTAAAAGTTAACACTTTGTTGTTTTCAACGCAGAGATGTCACTGGCAGGTTTTAGTTGTCAGTAGTACAGGATTGACTGTAGTTTTGAACACATGCTCGATATGAATAGAAACAGAGATAGAGAAAAAGCATAGCATAGGTCTAGCGGAAAGGAAGGCCAGAAGGAGAGCACAGGACCTTATTTTTAGAGTGGTCACTGTACAGGTTTGACTGTATATCAACAACCTAGTGTTCTCTATGCAGAGTTGGTACATGCAGGTTTGAGAAAAACGTGTGAGAATAAGCATAGCGTAGGAAAGGAAGGCCAGAAGGAGAGCACAGGACCTTATGGCCTCAGGGAGTCCTGGTGCTGCCGGTCCTTATTTTAGAGAGAGGTGGACACAAGACACAGGTTTGACTGTTGTTTTGTATCGATATGAACATGCAGTTAATGTGAGAAAAAGCATAGCGTAGCGGAAAGGAAGGAGAGCCAGAAGGAGAGCACAGGACCTTATGGCCTCGGGGAGCCCTGGTGCTGCCGGTCCGGGCCCCTCCTTCACACCCATCCCTGCTGCGCAGCGGGACATGCGGGGCGAAGAACAGGAAAAGGTAAAGGTACAGAAAGAGCCAGTGGTGCACACAGAACTCTGAAGATTTTTTTTATCAATTTATGATTTTTTGGGACAATTCCAAATTCCGAAAAGTAGGGCATGCTACTTGAAACGTTTGAAAGTTAAAATATATCCAGTTGCTTGAGTAACTGATGTCTTGTACATCTCCCAAATATGGGGCGTTTGCACTCACGTGACATGACGTCACATAAGTATCGGCCGCCATGTTGGATGGTTGAACCGGAAGGTTGTGGGGTAAATTTGGATTTGTGGCTGTTTTTTGCAGGGACCCAATTTTGAACTCCCATAATATGTTTCGTACTCTTTTATCCATACCTGTTCAACTACAGACTTTTGTGGTAAATGACGGAAAGTAGTACTTGAAACGTCTGACCTTCGTCGACCAAGAATGGGGGGGGGGGTTGCACTCACGTGACATGACGTCAATATTGGCCGCCATGTTGGACGGTTGAAATGGGAGGTGCTTTTGTTTTAATCCGTTTCTAAAACGCCTAAATTTTTTTGCGTTTATAAGAGTTCTGTCTGCAACACTGCCACAGCGACCTCGCTCCTCGCGCTTGGTTGCGGTCCACATGTTCTGCCACCTGACCACGGCGTGATCACCACGTGATATTCACGTGATTCTAATATTCTAATTCGTGATTGCCACATGGCCGTGCCATGGCAGAAGATGGACCTCTCAATGCGCAAGGGGCGAGGGTAAAAGTGAGTAACGCAAGGAGCATGTTAGAATTCCTCCCCACATCGCAAAAGCATGAAGTAAGTAGTACCACAGAGTGGGATATTAGAATATCGCATAGTAGAAAAGTCTCTGAAAGACACAGTAGATGAGGAAATGATGCATTCGTTTCTATAGAGCAAAGTCAAGATAAACAGAGATCAAGGCAAGTCAGTTGAGATAGGAAGGCTAGAGAGGAAAGAGTAAAGTGTTGGCACCCACGTGATTGTGACGTAAGTACCGTCCGCCATCTTGGATGCTTAAACCATGGAGTTTTCGTGGATACTTAAATGTGTATATGTAGTCACGTCATACACATGCAAATTAACCCGTCTAACTGTTCAATTCTTAACCAACCAGCATGGTGGCTGTGACGTCACACACCATATAAGGCGTTAGTAGAAATGAGTGGTGCGGTACTCTGGGACAGAGCCTATTGTGTACAGCAATTTTTGGGACTCTCGATCCCAGAGTGGCCAAATCCTTATTCCTTGTACCGGGCCTCACAGAAAGTCGTTTCTTCACAAGCTGTAACTGTATGTGATATGTGATTATGTTAAAACGTTTTTAGTGTGTCTGTGTGTTTGTGTTTCCGATGATATTTCTCCATGCATGTTTTGGTTGGAAGTGTGGTATTTTGGTGCACTGTCTGTATGTCTGAGAGTTAATGCAATCCTTGTACCTAATCTACTGCTCCCCCTGCCGTGGTGCTACAAAACTGCAGGTCAGTGTTGATCAATGCATTTCTCTCTGAGCTTCTCTTGTGACGACAGCAGATGATAAATTTCTCAATTTAACCCCAAAGTGTTCAATTAGTTACGCCTTTGTAGGAGGTCCCCCAGCACAATAATGATGCAATGTTTTCGTCTAATTGCTGTTAGTTCAAAACCATCTTCCCAGCTTCGGGAATTTGAGCTAGAATTGATATTGTGACATGGAATCCCTTCTACAGAGCAAATATATAGATTGATCTATAATGAGGAGTTTGCTACTAGGTATTTTTGTTGTTATGCTAAGAATTTCCAACGGTGCCTTCAGCATATCGACTTGCAACTGTTCTTAGCACCAGAGTTTGATCTTTGTATCTTGAATCCGTTAACTTGATAAATGAGGGGAACATATCTAACTCTACTGCTCACAACCCAACCGCGTGTACAACTAGTTAGGCACCTGTTGTGTGCGATGTTGAACTTATTTCAAACAGTTCGTCAAGTCTGTTGCACGCCTGTCAGTTTATTTTTACACCGTTTTCTTCAGGGAGGAAGGATATCGTTTCCGATCCTGTCTGCGGAGTTCTTTCTGAAGCTTATCTCGTCCAACTGCCACCGGGCTCCGCGGAGACGAGCCAGCTAGACTCTGTAACTGTCAGGACGGATTGACGAACTCCACTACATCAGTCATCTAACAACCCCAATGTAAGACATCATTGAGCTTTAAGGCGCTGGTTAAAGGAAATGCCCTGGAATTTCGCCCTGATTATACACTTTAGACTTCATGTAATGCATCCCTCTGGTCATTAGTGCTCTCACTCCCGTCTTGTGAGATCTGGTACATTGTCTCAGTTCGGTGGTGTGATGGATTCCGACACGATGGACGGATTGACAAAATCCAACTCCAAGGCGTCAAGTGTCAAACAACCTCGATGTAAGACATCATCAAGCTTCCAGGCGTTGGTTAAGAGAAAATACCATGGAATTTTTACGGAAAAGGGCATGCGGGCCCCCATCAATGCTCACACTCCAGTCTTGTGAGAACTGGTACGGTGTCTGTGCGGTGGTTCAGTGATTGATTCCGCCCGATGGTGTAACCACTGTGGGACTGAACAACCTGACGTGAAGCTCTCTCCAGCCATCCCTCTGCCCCCACGCACGTCATCCGGTCTTCCATCTTCCGGTCCCGTGGAGAGAACGTCTTACCGGCTCTAAAATATGGCCATACTGACTTAATTTTATGGATGACATCCTCTGAAGACCACCAAACTAGTGCGCGCGGGCGAGCAAAAAAATCCAGATCGGGCACAAGATCGGTGGCATGTCAGGACTCGAACCCGGGACCTCTTGGTTCCGAGGCGAGCACTCTGCCGCTGCCGCTACGCCACACGACCCCACGACCGCAACTTCACAATACCAGTTTAGCAGCATTTTTTGGCTGGAACTTTTTTTAATTCCCCCGCGCTAACAAGTTTTGGGGTCATCAGAGGATGTCATCCATAGAATTAAGTTAGTGTGGCCTTACCAGCTCTAACACACCAGGCGTAAGACAGGCGAGAATGTGCGTCCCTCTGTGGGCAGGTTTATTGATGTTTCTGTCGGTGTGCTCACGTCAAGCCGGCTGCTCTTCCTCCCATTGCCTCTTAAGGCTTGCAAACTTTCGCGAACTACTTAAAAGCCGTCACTTCATTTTCTTCGAGAAAGGGCAGGGAACGTCTTAGAAATCCTAAAGCTATGTATATGATTGTCGATATACAAAGACCTCCTAAGGGTGCCTTGTTTGACTTCTCTCTGGGATAAAATGTATTATCTCGTGTTTTGCGACCTGTTGATGGCCCCCAAAAAAAAAATCACATACAAGTTTCACTCTCCTCAACCTACTAGACAGTCAAGGCGAAGAAGTTGTCTCCTTGGCGAAAACTAGTGGACACTAAACTAGTGGACACATGTCATCAACTACAGTGCAATGAACCCAGGTTCACAGAATAGAAGACAGAGTGGAACGAAATGAAGAAATTAGGAAATTTAATCCTAGCAGTGTTTTCAACTATTTTTCTGTTTTCTGGACAAGTCATGGTTTGGGCATCAGGACCAGGTGGTATAGGTTTGAGCCCCCTAGCAGTTAATGTAAGAACTACAGGGGCGTTTTTGTCAATTGTACGCTACCGCGTTATGTATTTTCTGGACATCAGGACCAAGTGGTATATGTTTGGGCGCCCTAGCCGTTAACGTAAGAACTGCAGGGGCATTTTTGTCATTCTATTCTACCGCGTTATGTACCTTTATACTGTTTCCTGGGCATCAGGACCAGGTGGTATAGGTTTGGCCCCCTTGCAGTTAGTGTATGAAATGCAGTGGCGTTTTTGTCACTCTACTCTACCGTGTTAGGTAGTTTATACTCACATGGCGAATCTGTGCAGATTTGACGCGAGTCGGCTGAGCCTCTCTCTCGTACACGAAGCTCGAATCGTCAGAGTCGGTAAAGTCCGCTCCAGCCTAGGTCATCAGGCCAGCAAATAGTTTTAAAATACATTTTAAAGGCCTCGTTCACATCGAATTACATTTAATTGGCTTTTGGTGAAATATAATTTAAATTTAGTATTTTGTGAAATGTGAACGGGCACAGTACGAGATTCACATTAAGTCCGTTAATCTAAAGGATGTATTTATTTGTGATTAAAGACTGCAGGAAAGGTGTGAAGCGCACCGAATTTTACCATAAAATAAGCAACTTTCACCGGCAAAGCTGCAGTTGCGACAGTCGGAATGAAGGTAGATGTCTAATCCAGTGGTTCAGGTCGAACAAAGCGCAAAGTATAAATCATTTCTGTGGAAATTCGCATGTGTGTTTTCTGTTGATGAATAAGTGAGAAAGGCTGGAAAAAGTTGCCTTCTTAAATGTGTTGTTAGTGATTTGTATCCATGATCAAACTTTATAATTACGAGTACTTTCAGTTGGAAACATTGACTGTTGAAGTTTATTGAATGAGGTATCTGGACAATGCGAAGAGTTTTGAAGAGTTATTCCACCCACGCTATAAGAATGTGACATGTGTGTGGTACAGATGGACCCCTCCGGCTTACCGTAGATACGCCGGCGCAACACTGGCTTATCCCGTCATGTGCCCACTTCATGTACGGTAATCCCTGCTGACACTTGTGTAATGTGGCGAGATTAGACGTTACTTTGTTGCGAGATTAGGCGTGGCGGCTTGTGGCAATCTTCTTGTGGCAACTTGTGACCCACGGATTTATATTTTATCACATAAAGTCGATCAGAAAGAAACTCTGATGGAATGCTCTTATGCAACCTACGTATATATATATATATATATATATATATATATATATATATATATATATATATATATATATCGGACAGACCACCATTGTAACTATATCTCTTTAAGCATCATGCATTCTCTGTCAAAGAATCCATTTATTGGAAGGAGCAATAAATGTCTGAATATTTTTAATCCAAAAGTGAGATTGTTTGTATTATTCTGTCGGACATCACAAGTTATGATGACAACTAGCTTGAAACTTGTATCGTTTTTATTTTTTTCTTGCCAAGATTATCTCTCGGCAACATTCAGTTTATTGGTTTAGTGGTGGCTTCAACATACACGTACGTTTTTCAAACTTTTGCCATCACTTTGTCTGTGATATTCATTTCATGTGAAACACTGCCTGGTACTGCTGCTAAGCTCAGTTTCCTCATCAAACCGCAAACATTCACACAAACGTGCGTCAAAACGCCTACTTTTAGGAGAGATCGCCCTCCTCGCGATTCATAAATGAACAGAAGAAATCTCAAACGCTCACAGAGGGCGGCCGCGAAGTTATTAAAGGGATGTGCTCTGAGCTCTAAACCATTCTTTTACAAACCCCTGCTATGCTATATGCCGCTGAACTATTTTCAGAACTCTTTGCAATAATCTCTGTTCTTGGAAGAAGCGATGGTCGAACGATTATTTCCCCCGAGGTGGTTGAAAGATGCTCATCCGCCCGCTGTTCCAGATTCACAATATTGCGGGGAAATGAGAGAAGATGGCTGCAATCCCTAGCCTCCGCAGCAGGCTTATAGAACTGGGGTTTTGGTGGTCTTCGGCTGTTTTCTGATTAGCCTCAGTAGCAGGCTTATAGAACTGGGGGTTTGGTGGTCTTCGGCGGTTTTCTGATTAGCCCAGTTCTTGAAGAAACGGGGGTAATTCAACCAGGCCGGCTATGTTGTCTATATGCAATCAGAAGATAGCACATAAAAGCTCCAAAAGACCCCGAAGACCCCCAGTTTTTGGCGTGCTATGGAGGCTATGCAATCCCGGAGCGTGCATCCTCGCGCAGTCAAGCGATCTCATGATGCATATCCTTCTCATACAGCGATGGAAAGCGGTTCCGCCTAGCTCATATCGTCTCCCGCTGTGAGCCGATTCATTTCTGATGACTGCGCAGTTTATATAACGTTCCCTCAGACGTCAAACATGGTGTAGAAATACGCCTGTTTCCTATGAACTTTTGCAACTTCAGATCATAAACGTATTCCTCAGAAATGTTGCAGATAAAATGGAACCCTTCAATGCCAAAAATATCGTCCCCTGTCGCTATACTATTAAGTTCTACTGCCTACACAGGGAACAGGTTTTAAGTTTTAAGTTTATTTAACCAGAGTAGATCTCAGATCTGTGGATCTGTTTTTCAGACATCCCTGGGCACACGAATGTAAAAATACCGTCAATAGGTTCTACTAACTGAGAAAGAGAAATGCTGAGAAGGTACACACGCTGTTGTGATAGTGCTGGATGTGCTGAATGTGCTGTCCTTGTTGTCTATGTTTGAATGAATGTATATAATGTATGTATGTACGGATGCTTCTGCAGTATGTGAGTGTGTGACATGTGTAGCCAGGCCATCGAAGCATAGTCACCCATGCTCACCACGAAAGCTCATTGGCCACTCGCCAGGACCAGAGAGATGCCAAGCGTTAACTAGGCCACCACTATAGAACAGCTGAACAACTGCTTTCCAGAAGGAAATCATCTAAAGCTATACTTGTACTTAATACTACATAGTTTATCCTTTTTTTAAATTTCTTATTCCGACATTTCATGACGATACATGGTGACGGCACACTCAAGTTATATCAACTTGTAATATGCCTCCACCAAACGCAGAGGACAAATACCGTATATACTGCTTAAAACGATGTAGGGACATGGTATATCGTGTTTATAAGGATGTAGGGACTTATATACTTACATGGTATATGCCGGTGGGGCTGTATGTAAGGGCCTATGCTTACATGATATATACTGTTTAGACGGACGTAGGGACTTCTTCTTACATGGCATATCCAGTTCAGACCTATGTAGGGACCTGTACATATTATATCCTGTTTAGAAGGATGTGTAGGGACTTATATACTTACATGGTATATGCCGGTTGGGCTGTAGGGGCTGCCCTGTAGGGTCCTGTCGTATCTGCTGAGAGATCCGGTGCTGTATCTGGGCTCGTGGTCATACGGAGGCGGGGCGTGCGTCATGCGCTGTATCTCACGGTCGGTCGGCCCGTCGTTCATCATGGGTGGCTTTGAAATGGCCGCCTTGCCGTTCACGCCCTTTTCAGCCGTGTTGATTGGTGCGCTAAGGATCAAAGGGAGAGAGAAAGCAAGATGATTGGTGCGGTGTACATTAAAGAGAAAGAAGCGTTTAGCTGATTGGTGCACTGCAGATCAAAGGCAAAGTTACTGTTAGCTGATTGGTGAATCGTTGATCATTGGCGGTTTGCTAATGGCCGCCTTGCTGTTCACCCCCTTTTCCGCGGTGTTGATTGGTGCGCTGTGGATAAAAACATTTTGTTTTTGCTACGTTTCTTCTTCTCCAAACAGTGAGTTCTGACCAGACTGAACCAGAAGGCTGCCGCCATGGTAACTGGTGTTGGGTTACATCATGTTGCAATTTTCTAGCAGGAGGGATTTAGACTCCTGTCACCATATATGTGAATGTGTTTGAGTAAGAATTAACAGAGTAGACAAGGTAAACAATATGCATTTGCTTTGCAACTGGTCCTTTTCTAGTTGGATGAAAGGATTTTGTTTACCTCTCCTTGTTGACTTTCCGCTTGTTCCTCCACCAGACCAGCACGCCGAGAATGATGAGTCCGACGACCACGACCACCACGATAACAGCCACGATGATGGACAGCGGGCTCTGTAAGCCGGTCGCCTGGCTGCGGCCGCCCGATTCTGGAGGAGGGAGGGGGCAAACAGTCAACCAGTCAGCTTGTCAATGGAAAGAAGTATAGCTTTTTGCATGCGAAAGACATATGACTTTGTGTTAAGGTAGTACCGTCTGTGGCCATGGGCACTTTTCAGACGTCCTGTGGAGGGAAGGGGAGGGGAGGGGGGTCCATGTAATCTTGACAATGGAGAGGAACACAGTTTATACATATGCGTGGTCGAAAAGACAGAACATGAAAGACACAGGACTTAGTTAAAGGTAGCAGCGTTTAGACAGAAGACTTTTCAGACTGCTTGTGACCGCCAGATTCTGGGGAGGGGGGTAGACATCCCAGTTACCGAGAGTTAAAGTAGTCATCAAGTCATGGCATTACACCCAACTGAGACGGGGGGCGTCGCAAACTATCTGCTCCTTATAATCCACAGCTCACCGAATAACATGTTCTATCTACATGACATGACGTGGACGTCACAGAAGCGTAGGGATTGAGCAGTCAAAAATTTCGAAAAAAATTGTTTTAAAAAGTAGCAGTTCAAAACCTGTTGAACTGATACTGGGAATACGTTTGACATATCATAACATCTGACCGAAATGAATTCACCATTTCATTGTCGTGGGTCTCTGAGTTTGATGCTTTTCGTATCACCGCCTTAATCTGACGTTGCTACAAAACATCACGACGTTATCTATCAAGTCTTAGCGGGTCATCACACTCTTGACGTCAACGTCTCAACAACAATCATTGTTAGCGCAGAGGATTACATGTACTTTTCAAAACGACATACATTGTAGGCCGCTTGAGATAAGCATAAGGCAGAAAGCAATTATTCTGCCAATCATGTTCCGTATCATCACCCCACATCTTCTATCAGTGCAAGCTTTTCATTCTCTGTGCCGCACAGGACGGCATATAGATGAAAAATTAAACCAGAGTATGATGTTATGGGGGAGATTAACCTGTGGAACTCGCCTCAAGTTAGATTTCTTTTTTATATATGATATGTATGGATAGAGATTTGTCGCGTTTTGTTATGACACATATGCAATGTTATGTGAATAATACCTAATAGTTAATCGTACGTTCAAGACGAAAATGACATATTTTGACATATATTTTGTTTGAAGCTTGTAGTGGGCTGGTTTTAAGTTACGGTGCACTAAAATTTTACACCGGTTTTGCTTCTGAAGTAGTAATTCAATCCACTTTGTTTCTGCATTTACATTTGATATCTTAATCTTCTTTTCGTCGAATCTTCTTATCTTCTTTCTCTAGTTTTTTTCCTGTACTAAAACTTTGTGCCAGTTTGATACTGCAATAACAGTTACTGCTTTACTCATTTTCAGTAAAGTGGACTTTTACCTCTAATTTTGTAGTTACACTTTACTTTGTTTTTATTCTACATTTAAAACGTCTGGGTGGCCCTGTAATAAATGATAAGCCTAGATATCTCCAACACTAACATTTTACTGTCGTTTGCTGCTGCTCTTATATTGGTGGCAGCTTTCATGAGTTTTAAGGCTCCTTTCCACTAGACGGTGTAAGCTGAACAACTAACTGTATAGCGACCATAATTGGATTTGTCTGGCCCTTAATTTCATACTGAAAGAATGAATGAATGGTTTATTTGATTATTTTGGTCGGGTATGAAAAGTATATCGCAGCCATAGGCTGAATTGCGTACTTGTTACTTATTCTAAAACTACTGAGGAAGACCAGGATGACGGGTCGAAGGCTCTAGGTGAGAGAACTTGTTTGTGTTGGATCAAAAGTTTTAACTTTAAACATATTTACAACCTGTTGACTTTAATTTGACCTGTTAATTTGCTGATAATAGCTATACGATAAAATACACAAAACGTTATGAAAATTCGTCCTTTGTCTATGAACTTCTTTAAGAGATCTGTCAAACATTTGGTACTAGACTGAAATAGATAGCTATTTCTTTGGCTATCTCCTAAAACGAAAACCTGAAGGCTTGATCTGTCCCATTAATGCCAGAGTGGTTCACATTGGGCGGCATTGCAGAAATCAGACACTTTGACGTTCAGGATCAAACGCCGCTGCCACAATTTCATATTCTCCAAAAGCCCGATACACATCCAATATCCAACACATGACTGCCTGTTCCGACAATATTGGTCACACCAACTGGACATGTATGGACGTTATCCCGTCCGCATCTCATAATGCATCCATAACAATCGCCGCGCCTTGTTAACCGACCAGAGAATCAACCTGTCAGATCTACAAGCCCGAGTTTTCGGAGGTCCTGGAGGTGATAATATAAACAGCGACCCAAGGATGCCGCAGAGACGCAGGGCTATCATGTTTTTTTTCTTAAAACATTCAAGTTAAAGTTAAGAGGCAAGATAAAATAACAGCTCATGTCCACACTGCAATAAAATGTTACAAAACAACAATGTACAAGGGTCGGAACTTTTGTCGGCAATGTCTGATAAATCGTACTGGAAGGATAACTTCGCTTGCTTCACCTCCTGAAGAGAACAACCGATGAGGATGATCATGAAAAGAACTGACAAGCTGAATGGTAACAGTTAAGTCATTTACGTGAAAGTCCTGATTCCTTACTCAAAAAGATTAGAAGGTCACAACATAGAAAAAAACAACACAACTTTGAGCTAGTAGCCAAACATTTAGTTCGCAGTCGCATCCTCTTGTGGACAGCGTGTCTAACAAAGACATACACAGAGCAGAGTGAAGGAGTGAATGAATGAGAGAGAGAGAAAAGAAACAGCAGTGCTACTTACTGGGAGGTTTTGTTCCTGAGGTGGCGGGAAAAAGGAACGTGACAACAAGAGATTACGTATTTGTGACGTAGGGTGACGTATTTGTGACGTAATCGCACAAACAACACATGCATGTGAAAAATGACACGACCCAGAAAACATTCAGCTGGTAAACATTGCAGTAACTCTTTAGCTACCTTTAGCAAGAAGTGTAGCTTAAGAAACCGTGTGAATGTCTTCTAGACCGTGCTATAAGAAAGTTACTTCACAGTCACCTACTGTAAGTTGGTGAAACGTGCAAGACAGTTAGCAGACGAACATTAACAGCAAGTGTTCACCTCACAAACACACACATTCATTATCATGATGACTACCATACAACTTTCACAGTATAAATCAGTTATATTACATAAACTTAAGTGTATTTCGTCTACGATAACCATTGGGGAAGTCTAGCTGCTATCGAATAAAAACAAGATTTATAGTTGTCGTTAGGAAACGTTTCATATCTTCGTTATAAAAACGTTGTTTATTTTACTTTACGATCCCATACTGACAAGTAGTCAACATGTCAGCACTAAAAAAAACAATCATGATCGACAATTTTGCTAAGCGATAAAAAGTTGATTTTATTTAACTCTATTAGGACACACATCCTTGCTTACTGGTTCGGTTCTTTGGTTTATCATCAGTTTTTTTTTATTACAACCTTTTATCATAATTAGCACACGGCCCACGTATAACACTCAAACTCTTTATGCCTTTTTGTTTATATGGAGGGAATATAATATGGCCAAGCATAAAACTATACAACTATATGTGGTTATGCACAACACGTTGGGTGTAGATATTGCGGTGGCTTTATGGCAAACGCAATAGCTTTAGTCATTTTATATACGATATAGCGTTCAGGGAGGTATATATTATGGTTGAAATTTATGTCCTTGCGTCACGCTATATATTTTTACCAATATTACATTCAATTTAAACTTTTAAAGCCGGACGGAGACGCGATAAAAAGGGTCTCAACTTTTCCAATCCATGATATAAGGTAGAGAAATATAGATATAGGCATTTTAACACTCGGGATACGAAGGTAGCCGTTTGGCATGAAATTTGTGTTTGTTAAAGGGTTAGGTAGCAGGAAGAAGGTTAAAAAGAGGCTATATATTTTGAAATTTAAGTTTTCTTGTTGACTATTCTGATGTGCCAATCTAGAGACATTTCTTTATATAACCATGCAAGTAGGGCCCTATATCAACAATTTATGCATAGTTCCATAGTTAAAGGAATATATAGATATAGCGCCAGCCATTTTAACCCCCAGCTGTTTGGCACCAAATTTGTATTGGTTTAAGGGTTAGGCAGCAGGGATAACGTTAAATAGCGGCTATATATTTTGAAATTTAAGTTTCTTGTTGACCATTATGATGTACCAATCTAGAGACATTTCTTTATATAACCACGCAAGTTGCGCCCTATATCAAGAGTTTATACAGTTAAAAGAAAACTGGTTTTATATAAAGTAACCAACGGTTGGAACGTCATGTTTTATGACCAGAAGTGATAAAAAGAAGTTTTAAGAGAAGAGTTAGACGATTGATAGCAAGTTGTACGGGTTTCCCCTCGCTGGAGGGCCTTTACTATATCAACAGTTTACACATAGTTAAAGAAAAACTGGTGGTGTGTAAAGTAGTCGACGGCTAGAATGTTTTTATGACAGCAATTGATGTAAAGTTTAATAGAAGAGTTGGTGGAATTTATAGTTGTATGGCTTTTGCCCTGTTGTATGAAGTCACCAACGGTTTGGACGTCATGTCTTTTACGACCACAAGTAATAAAAAGCTTTAAGAGAAGAGTTGGAGGAATTTATAGCAGTTTTCCCCTTGCTGGAGGGTCTTTCAGTAAAATTACAACAGTGATTTGCCATTCGCAAAAGGACCTCTCTCTCCAACCTTCTGCTCCAGGACCCAATATGGGCGACGATTTACGACAGGCCGTAAAACGGCGACGATTTGAGACGTGTCGTAAACCATCGGCCGTTTTGCGAACAATAAGGGCCGACCAAATTGCTTCCAGCCCCTTTTGACAACTTTATCTTCGCACGGCAATGACCGTGGCTTTATATCGCAGACGACACTTGAATCGCCAAAAAGCAGTTACTCAAGCAACTGGATATGATTTTGGAAACGTCTTTGACTTTTTACCACATTTCAATTCCTACTTTTTCGGGTCATTTTCCATTTTTCTTAACGATACGTTTGCTGAATGTTTTGCCCTTTCAAAAACTTTTGCTACTTTTTTTTGAGTGTCGTCGATAAAGGTTAGACATCCAGGTAATAAAATACGTCAAAAAGCAGTTACCCAAGCAACTGGATGTGATTTTGGAAACAGTCAGACATTTAAGGTAGCATCCACTACCTTTCGTCAGGGACTGAGAGACCAGAGTGCTGGTTTATAAGCACAAACTATTGAATAATAAGTACAGGGTGTAGATGAAGTAATTCATGTTCTTGTATGATGGACGAATACCTACTACTACTATTGATTGAATGAGCTGCTTATTTGTGCTTATAAACCTGCATTTCTCTCTCAGTCACTGACAAAAGGTAGTGGATGCTAGCTGAAACGTCTGACCGTTTCCAAAATCATATCCAGTTGCTTGAGTAACTGCTTTTTGGCGTATCTTATTACCTGGATGTCTAACATTCATCGAAGCATCTAGCGATCTTCAATGTGTTTCAATGATCTTTGATATCTTTTAAAACTATGTCCAAGATCTCTCAATCATCTGTTTAAACGTCTGACCGTTTCCAAAATCATATCCAGTTGCTTGAGTAACTGCTTTTTTGGCGTATTTTATTACCTGGATGTCTTACCTTCATCGAAGCATCTAGTGATCTTCAATGTGTTTTAATGATCTTTGATATATTTTAACTATGTCCAACATCTCGCAATCATCTGTTGAAACGTTTCACCGTTTCCAAAATCATATCCAGTTGCTTGAGTAACTGCTTTTTGCTTATTACCTTGAGGTCTAAATTTCATAGACGACACTTGAATCCCAAATGCTGGCACAATATCTCAGCAAACGAAGCGGAATTCCATCCGGTATGTGAGGGGATTTATTCCGGATGAAAGGCAAACCCGCGGGAGGGCAGAACGTTATACAGGCTCATAAACACGAGATGAACGCGTGATTGTAAAAAACAGCTTCGGCGCCGCTTGGATCTGTAGACGACAAGGAGGGCTGCAGGAGCGTCGATTTTGTGTTTCTTTCTTCATTGAACGAAATAAAATACAAGGACAAGTTTTAGCTACAATCAAGTTGTAGCATAGACTGTTTGCTCAAATGTTTTTTTGTATAACATCTTTTCCTTGGATCTGCAGACGACAAGGCACGCTGCCTGATCGTTGATTTTGCCTTTTTTCTTCACTGAACAAAATAGAATACAAGGACAAGTTTGGGCTGCAATTTTAACAGTCCCATTTGATTTTGTTTTCTTAAAATTAAAAAAAAAATCTAAAATTTAAAAAGGTAAATGGTTTGTCCGTTTACAAATTATCCGACTTTACTGTGTCATCTTCTACTTAATCATTCTCATGTTCTAAACGATACGTTTGCTAAATATTTCGTCCTTTCAGAACTTTAACGACTTTTTTTGGGGTCATTTTTCACCTAATTATTCTCCTGTGTTCTTAACGATACGTTTGCTAAATGTTCTGTCGTTTTAAAAACCTTTGCCACATTTTCTGGGTCATCTTCTACTTAATCATTCTCCTGTTCTTAATGATATAATTTTTTGGTGAGTCGGCGGATTTCTGCTCCTTTAATTTCATGGCAGGTTGCTTTGGCCTGACCTGTAGCGGCGTCAACTGACTCGGAACACATTTGCTGGTGTTTGCACCTACATTCCAGACTCTCCTTTCAACGTAAAAAAAACTCAAAACTTGCCACATAATCCGTTACAAAGTTGCCGACATTTAGCCAGCCGCATGACGGTTTTATACGAAATGTTTCCAGACAGTTTTGTTATATGAGAAAAGACGAAGGTAAATTCACGCTTATCAAGAATCAATATAAGTTCATCTTCGCGCGGATTCGCGCTCAACTGCGCCCCATTATAACTGAAATGGGTTATTAATATCAGGCAACAGCAAGTAATTTTTATGGATGACATCAGCGCGTGCATTAATTTTCTCCTGATTTTTGAGAAAAAAAAGCAAGAAATTTTGTTGCCCTCTGACAGTAGACAATATGCCGAATACGCGTAAATATGTCTCTTGCTATGCCGGAACTTGGATGACAGATAAATGTGAAAAGAGGAGACAAGAAATAGCTCTGATTTTATATTCTGTCCTTTACTTTTACTTTGTTACAGTGTTATTTCGTTCCTTTATATGTGTTGTTGCCGCTGTAAACTTCCTGTCTCCGCTACAAAACTTCATCTCAAGCGCCTCAAGACGCCGCTTTAACTTTAAGACGACGTTGAAAGATAAGACGCCATGAATACGCGTGTTGTCGTGTGGCGTAGCGGCAGAGTGCTCCACTCAGAACCAAGAGGTCCTAGGTTCGAGTCCTGACATGCCACCGATCTTGTGCCCATTGGGAAACGCACTTCACACGACTTTCCTCACTTAACTTATTAAGTAAAAATGACTATTGTCTTGTCCTGTGTTTGTCCTCAGCGTTGGTGGGAAAGCTCATAAAATAAGTTGATATAACTTGATTGTGCCGTCACCATGTCTAGTCATGAAGTAATGGAATGAAAAAAAAAATAAAACTTCATCTGAAGTGCCTCAAGACGCCGCTTTAAGGCGATGTTACAAGAGGAATAAGACGCGAGGGAAATCAGCGCAAGTTTCCCCGTGAACCCGAACTTCTTGGCGGCGACTTTTGGCCGCCCCTCACGTCACAAGTTATTACGTTTTACGTCATGGCAGTAAGTTTTGCTGTCGTAACTCAGCAGTGTTACTCTCACAGGAAGTGGTGCATGTATCTGTATCTGTATTGCCGATCGACTTGTTACACCTAACCCTTGAACATCTAACTCTAGACATTGTTTAAAGCCATCTAATTACTATGTCTCTACTGTACTTGGTTACAGCGCGTTCCACTCTGCGATAGTTCCAGGAAAGAATGAATTCTTGAACAGCATGTTGAATAAAGAACCGTGCTTCATCAAGAATCATGCTCATGCACTTTTGGGGATAATCCACGCGTATCCAGAACCATGCCTGGGGCATATCTACGTTCTTGGATACGCAAAGACAGTCCAGGACCTTGCCTAAACATAACCCTAACCCTTAAGGATTAAAGGGTAGAACTAGCTAGAGACAGGTTCTATTGTATCAAGAATCATGCTCAGGCACATTTCTGGATAGTCCACGCGTATCCAGAACCTTGTCAGGGGCACATCTACGTTCTTGGATACGCAGAGATTATCCAACTGATCCTAAGTCCCTATTTAAAACGGAGAAGTAGATTGCCATGGTTCTGGATACAAAAGTGCACGAGCAAAGAAATGTCAGAGAGGTGGAACAAAAGCCCCTGAACTTTAGTCGGGATTCCCGGAGACGCCAATTCATCGATTTGTGAACGGACGTGTAAAAACCCGAGTCTTATGTGCTCTCAGCACATTGTAAAGGTTTTATGGATTAATATACACATATCGACATGTTATACAGCAGTATTTCAGGTCAAGTGAACTTTGAACAACTTTCCGCGGCCATCATTGGCTGGATTTGGGTGGGTAGACCTACCAATTTGTTTTGCCATTGTTAAGTTACTGAAATGTATTACGGTTTATAGATAGACAGATTAATAATAGAGAGATAGCGAGAGAACTGAAACGAGCCCTTAGAATTGCTGCAAAATGCCATAATTTATTCATTCATTCATTTTCATTCATTCATTCATTTATCCATCCGTTCATTCATTCATTCATTCACTCACTCATTCATTTATTCTTACTAACTTCCTTCCTTTGGTCTTACCTGTTTTCTGCAGCTCTTTCTGCTTGTAGGCGTCGCCGTCGCTGTTAGTTGCCATGCAACCAAGATGTCACAAGTATGCAAAATAGTCAATATGATATCCAGAGTATGCAAATAAGTCACTCGTATGTTATTATGTATATCTTACCTGCTTTCTGCAGCTCTATCTGCTTGTAGGCGTCGCCGTCGCTGTTGGTTGCCGTGCACGTGTAGGTGGTGAAGTGTTTCTCCTCCACCGAGTTAATCGTGAGGACGCCCTTGATCTTTGCGTCTGGCGTTATGACCTGCAGCAAGATGTCACAAGTATGTAAATTAGGCACTTGTATCGTCAATAAGACATCCCGAATAGGCAAATTAGTCACTCTTAAGGAATTTACGAAGTGGCATGAAAATATTTGTCTATGTGTGTTCGGATGAAGTCTGCCACCTCTCTCTCTCTCTCTCTCTGTCTCTCTCTCAGTGTGCGTGTGTCTGTGTGTGTGTTTGTGTGTGTCTCTGTGTCTGTGTGTGTGTTTGTGTGTGTGCGTACGTGTGTATGTGTGTGTGTGTGTGTGTGTGTGTCTGTGTGTGTCTGTGTATGTGTGTGTGTGTTTAAAATCTACTAGCTCTACTATATGTTACCTGTTGTTCTATGATGTACTCAGTCTTCCATACCTTACCTTGTCCGTGTGTGTGTGTGTGTGTGTATGTGTGTGTGTATGTCTGTCTGTGTGTGCACTACCATACTTTACCTGTTGTTCTATGATGTACTCAGACTGCACGTTTCCCCTCCCGTCTGACACCTCCACCCTCCCGTCCGGCCCCTCCCACACCAGGTCCGGTTGAGGGTCTCCGTACACTTCGCACTCCAGCTTCGCCTTGGAGCCTGCCTGGGCCCGCACGGCCCCCCTGGCCTGCTCGATGAACGGCTGGCCTGTTGGGATTAAAGTAGACTTGTTTGTTAAAGAAAGGTAAGCACTGTTTTTTTTCTTGTGTAACAATACATAAAGAAGGCCAAGAGCCTTCAACTTACCCACAATGTATCGCTCATGCAAACTTTATGTTTCTGCCTGACCCCATAACATTTAGAGAATTTGTAGTCAAATGGCTACTTCGGTGACTACTGCTAAAGTCTAAGATACTATTCTTGATATGTACTTGATATGTATGTTTATCTATTTAGAAAACTCGAACACCCAACATGAGGATGTCCAAAGCACATTTAAGTTCGGCATATTACTCACAATACAAGTGTGAAATTTAAGATATTGTTCTGATATTTTGATATTAAAACATTGAGACGAAGCCCAACTTGAGATATCCAGACGCACCTTTGACGTTGATGAATGTTTCTATCGTGTCGTTGGAGGTGAAGCTCTGTTGGCTGGCGACGCACTCGTACCTCCCCTCGTCCTGGTACCTCACGGACGGGAACGTCAGGGTGTTACTCGTCCCGAACCTAACAGAACAAAAACAAGATTTAAACAAGACTGGCAATTAAAACATACATTGCCATGGCGACAGTGCTTGCTGTTAGGGGTATTGTTTGCATGACAGTGCCATGATTTCATGATTTTGAAGACGCCTTGTGAAGAGTGTATAGTGAACGAAGTGACAGAAAGTAGGCCTAGGGCACCGGGGTGACAGAAAGTAGGGCACTAGGGGGGGGGGGGGGCAGACAGAATTTTCCCAAGGGTTTCCAGGAATGTAGGCATGTGTCAACAGAGCTGGAAGACATTCCTGTGGACATTCCATGCCTGCGGACAAAATGTCTAACAAATTCCTAGAATTCTTGCAAATTGCACACAATACTTTACCATTAGGCTCCTCCCTGAGACGTCAACAAAAAGATTAAAGGTAAATTTCATCAGGTTGACGGCACCCACCTGACTTTGGTGTCCTTGACCCTCCAGTACACGGTGGGTGCGGGGTTGCCGTCCGCCTGGCACTTGTAGCTGACCCGATCCCCCAGCCTGACCGGCTTCTCGCCCTGGATGGCCGTCGTCGTGATCTTGGGAGGGTCTGGGGAGAGGCGAAATAAGTGGCCTTAGAAATGATAGTAACAACTAAAAAGGTGGCATTTACAAACGGTTCGTCTTGGATAGAATTGTAGTAAGTACAAGAGTATCCTTTGCTAAGAAAATGCACAATGCTTACCTTCACAAAAAAACTACTACTCTAATTATTCTTACTCAAACACATTCATGCATATGGTGACCAGCCCCTCCACCTCTGTCCTGCCACTTACTACATAAGTACATTCATATGGCGACCAGCCACCCCTCCCCCACCAACGCTGTCGTACCACTTGCTACATAATGTAATCTTACACAACAGGGTGTCTGCTACAGTTACATTCTACCATAGTGATAGCCAGTCTTTGACCTTATTTGTTTAGAACAGATGAAGAGGAAAAGCAAGAAGAAGAGAAAGAAACAGAGCAGAAACAGTCAAATTGTTTACCTCTGCAAACTTAAGGTAAACATAATAATGTATTGTCATGTGGAGAGTATACTTACAGGCTACGTTTAGCGTGAAGTTCCCGCTGCCGCTGCCGACGTCGTTGATGGCCTGACAGGTGTAGACGGACGTGTCGGTCCGCTGCAGGTTCGTGATCGTCAGCTGCTTCCCGGTTCCGCCTGCTACCGTCCTGCGGCAAAGCACATGCAAGATCTCAAACTTTGAGGAATTATACTTGATACTTTATTGAGATATGCATTAGTTGAAAAAGCGGCTGCAAAAGCAACTATTTCTGGATTCCAAATCACATATAGTCTTCAAATCTGTCAAAGCCTCAAACTCTTTCTCTCTCTCTCTCTCTCTGTCAGTCATTCTCATAAGACTATGACTAACTGCGCAACAAATCAAACAGCAAGATGGCACATACACAAACAACAAAAAACGAAAAAGGGCCATAAAAGGAGCAAAAGGGGTATCTCCTAATCTGGGTGTCTAACCTTCATTGACGTACTTAAACAATGCATAACTGGAAGTGATAAATGCTTTCAATTAATGATACACAAATTAGTTAGAAGTTGTGAACCTTACCTGCCGTCCTTGAGCCACTGGTAGTTGCGTATGGCGGGGTTACTGTCCGTGTTACACACCAGCGTGGCGGGCTCTCCTTCCTTCGTCACAGGCGGGTTGGACGTGATGCTGATGATGGGCGCATCTGTGTGACATCATGTATAACACTTTATAACAACATACAACGCTATAAACATCAATATGTGTATATCTATCGGGCAAAGAGGGATACACTAATCTAATACTTTAACAGAATCTATCATGAAAGTTCATGTTTGTTGACGTCACACTTCAGGGAAGCCACGTGACTAGTCTCACTGGGTCAGTCTACTGAGGAAGACCAGCGAGACTGGCCGAAGTTCTATGTCACAGTATGTGAGAGATTTTACCTTTGTGTTGGAACAAAAGTTTTAACTTTAAACACAAACACACACACACACACACACAAACACACATACACATATATGTATACATACATACATACATACACACAAACACACACACACACACATATATATATGTATACATACAGACACACACACACACACACACAAACACACACACACATATATATATAT